TAGCACTGCCAGCGGCCGTGACAGTGGCATCGCATGCGCAGTGAAATGTGGCACATCGCCAGTAACCTTTACTGCGACTTTCCGCATTGTGTGGCCTGCAGAAGCTCGCACCCCTTAAACCAGAGTAATACAACGCTGTTAAAAAATGAAAACACCGCGAAGTCACGGTTAAAGGCAACGCATCCAACCGCCAGCTCTTCTTCGCCAGAGCGAGGCAAGATCACGTGATCCAACCCTGCACGTCAGAGCGATTACAGCGCTCGTGCCTCTAGTGGTGGGCCTCGCGCCCAGGTGACAGGACACGAAAACGCCGTGGTCGAAGGACCTTGCTAAACGCAGTGCGTGTAGTGGTGGGCACGGTACGACATTGCTCAGCGCGTCTGGCCGAGCTGGAGGAGGTTTGCGACGTGTCAAAGAGCATGTCTGTGTTCGAAGTTACACGCTTCCTTGTTGGCGTCCATGAGTCGAAAACTCAGCAGGAGGCATGACATGGAACATTAAGCAAATGCGGAATGTGGAGGAGGGTCAGTTGGGACCATCCCGTCCCGCGCCCTTGTTGGAGTATGCCACTCGGGTTCATCTTCACGCGGTAGCACGTGCGCGTTCATCGTGCGTCTTCACAATCTCTATCCCCGACGCCATCACGTGAGTGCTGAAAGAGTGTAAGGAGAAGAGGCCACACACAGACCCTTACAAGCACGCACCACTATCACACACAGGCCCTTACACACACAGTCCCTGATACAGGCCCGAACTCGTTAGCGTGCGAGCGCGTTCTGGCAGTGTTTGAGCCAGCTGTTGCACATGCGCGGTATACTCACACCAGATTGAGCTCAGCCATAGTACAGTGTACTAGAATTCTAGTACACTGTAGCCTTTGGCTACTTCGAATCCAAAACATACCTTGAAAGTAATCGGCCTGCCAGGCAAACGACACGTCCCATGGTGGAACACTGAGTGTCGTAATGCGGGAAAGGTACAGAACAGGGCATGGAGGTTGCTGCGGAACTCGCCGACAGTGGGAAACCTTGGGAGCTTTAAGAAAATATAGTCTCGAGGCAGGAGAACGCGTCGGCAGGCCAGAAGAAAAATCTGGCGCAAGTTTGTATCAGGGATAAATTCACATACACAAGAGGCTAAAGTCTGAAACATGGTTGGTAGGGTAGCAGGAAGACAAGTATACTCACTCCCACTCGTAAACACACAAGGTGATAGACTGGAAGATCAGGCGAACTTCCTCGGTGCATAATACGAGCAGGTGTCTAGCTCGTCACACTATACTGAAGCTTTCCAAAGATACAAAGGAAGGATAGAAAAGCAGAAACTAGAATACAAGTGCACAGATTACAAGGCATACAACCAACATTTCAACTTAGCTGAGCTACAAACATCACTAAACTCCTGCAGTAATTTTGCCCCGGCTACGACCGTGTCACATATGAAATGTTGAAAAACCTGCCGCTCAAAACGTAAAAAACTTTGCTCTCCCTATACAATGCTATCTGGCTTTTGGCACCATCCTTTGTTCCAGGAAATAGGCTATTGTTATCCCTATTTTGAAACACGGCAAGGACCCTTCCTCAGTTGCGAGTTATAGGCCCATAGAACTTACAAGCTGACTTTGTAAACTTTTTCAAAAGATGATAAACCGCGGACTTTTACATTGCCTCGAAACACACAATCTGCTCGACCGATTCCAGTGCGGGTTTCGAGGGTGTGGATCCACCATCGACCATCTGGTGCGCATTGAGGCAGACATCCGAGACGCTTTCGTCAACAAACAATACTTCCTCTCTGTGTTTCTCAATATCGAGAAGGCATACGACACAACATGGCGTCTAGGCATATTAAGAGACCTGTGTCACTTGGGTGTGCGGGGTAGAATGCTTTCCATAATCAAGAGTTACTTGCCCAATCAGACATTCCGTGTCCGTGTGGGCAGTATTCTCTCCCAAACATTTGTCCAAGAAACGGAAGTACCGCAAGGTGGTGTACTTAGTTGTACACTTTTTATTATGAAAATGAATTCTTTGCACCTGTCCATCCTTCGCAACATGTTCTACTGTACATATGTTGATGACGTCCAGCTTGGCTTTAAGTGATGCAACCTGGCAATGTGTGAGCGGCAGGTTCATTTAGGTTTAAGCAAGGTCTCCAAATCGGCAGCGGAAAACGGATTCCAACTGAACCCACAAAAAAGCACGTGTGTCTTGTTCTCCCGAAAGAGAAGCATGCACTCAGAACCCGACATTGAACTGAACGGTCAACGCCTGTCTGTTAATGCGGAGCATAAATTCTTAGGCTTAATCTTGGACTAGTTGACCTTCGTACTGCACATCATGTATTTAAAAACAAAATGTTTAAAAGCCATTAATGTTCTAAAAGTGTAACGTACTACGTGGGGTAGTGACAGGCAATGTCTCATGAACCTGTATAAAAGCCTCATTCACACCCGCTTAGATTATGGGGCCGTTGTTTATCAGTCTGTGACTCAAAGTGCTTTGAAGATGCTGGACCCCGTGCACCATTTGGGCATCCGCCTTTCTACGGGTGCTTTTCGCACCAGCCCCGTAGAAAGCTTTTACCTCGAGTCAAATGAGTGGTCGCTTTATCTGCAGAGAACTTGCATGTCTTTTGTATATTTTCTTAAGGTGAAAGCAGACAAGAAGCACCCCCTCATACTCCCCTATTATTGATTTCTCGAGCTCCATACTGTTTCAAAACAGGCCTTCAATGAGTCCGCCCTACTCAGCTCGCCTCACGGGTCTATCTGAGGAAACTGGTGTCTCACTGGAACACAGTTTATTGGCTCCTGTAGCATACCCGCCACTTTGGCAGTGGCAGACTATAGAATGCGATGTGTCTTTCCAAGAAATGACAAAACACGCACCCATTGCCCATATCCGAACATACTTTCTGGAACTTCAACACAAATACACACGTCCTGAGTTCTTTACAGATGCCTCCAAGTCTATCTCATCTGTGTCCTACGCTGCTGTCGGCCCATCCTTTTCGGATGCTGGCCCTCAAAATCCAGAGACATGTATCTTCACAGCGGAAGCTTATGCGATACTTGTGGCTGCTAAACACATCAAACAACTAGAACTACAAAAAGCTGTAATTTATACGGACTTTCTCAGTGTGCTAACAGCTCTGCATACTCTTAAAAAACAAAAAAACTGTCTTCGTCTCACTTTACTCCATTTTATGCACACTCAACTCACTCAAACAACTTGTTGTAGTGTGCTGGGTGCCAGGGCACCGTGATATCCAAGGCAACGTGATGGCGGATCAGCTTTGTGCATCCGTCCACGAAAGTAATGCCACGACACCCATATCAATCCCGGCCCATGATGATAAGCCGTCTCTCAAACGAAAGCTCAGGGACTACTGGCAGAGCAAGTGGGATAGACACACACAAAACAAACTAGACGTTATTGAGCCACACGTTGGCCATTGGCCGCCAGTATCAAAATCACGTCATACAGAGGTAACACTAACGAGGCTCAGGATAGGACACACACACACGACACACTCATATTTTTTGTCCGGTGGCGATCCACCATTGTGAAACAGATGTGGTGAAGCACTAACAGTTCTTCACATTTTAATTGAGTGCAAACAATTAGACACTCTAAGAAAACAACACTTTCCTGTACCCTACCTACAACATATTTATTTTTATTTTATTTTATTTATTTATTTTTTATTTTATTTTCACCAAAACAGATACAATGGCGAAAAATAGGGAGACGGCAAAAAGCTGCAGTTATTGCAGCTTGACTAAGCGCCGTCCACCCTACGTCAGCAGTGACAGGGTGAAAACAAAATACAATAAAATGAAAAAAAACAAATAATATAAAGCAGGAAACAATACAAGCAGTAGACAAAGTAAATGGCAGGTCAAGGTATACAAACAAAAAGGAATATTTCATAAACACAAGAGCACAGTAATTCACAGAGTATGTATCATTGCTTTCGTACATAAGAAAGGTACACAATGAGGTTACACTAAAGAAATAATAAGAAATAACCTTTACACCCTGCAATGTTCGTCGGTAGGGAACCACTGTTCACTCATAAATCGGTGCTAGCTTTTTTGAGAGATGTTAGCTTTTATCATGTCATATACACAGGTAATGCATAGCACGACCTCTCAAGAGAGGTTGCTGCTGTAGTGACTACATTTAAAAGCACTTGCCTCGTAGCCCTTGGATACAAGGGCACTGATGAGGCACTTGTGATAGTGCCAAATATTTTTACACATGTGTTTATTATCAAAACCATTTGTCACCAATTTTTACTTTCCATATCACGCAACTGTCATGATTTTAATACTTATGTTTTTACCCGCATTATATCGAGGAATTTTAAGGCCCCTATACAGCCACGCAACATATCATTGTCCACATCTCTAGTCATTGAAATGGCGCTCTCTGGCCATCAATTGGTCCTTGCGCCATAAAGCGCTACACATCATCATCATCCATCCAGCGTGATATCATTTTTCTTTCGTCCCATTCTACAACATCCATTCCTCCAAATCTTTTTTGTAGCCATGTTTGTTTGCTTGTTTGTTTGTTTGTTTTTTCCACCTAGACTCATGGCTCACACCCACTCAGGGGCATAGGCCAAGAAAGCGCAGTGCATTTTTTCTGTCAGCATTACAACTATGTGTCAAGAATTTGCATTATTATATGACTAATGTTAGGAAAAACCACATAAAAAGAGTAAACGAAAAAAATTTAAAAGTCAACTTGAGAGATTTTCAGATTTCATGTGTTGTGATAACCACTCAGCTGCGTTTATTTCACCTCATCAATTAGAATTTTCTTTTTTAGATACTAAATAATAATTATTTCATTGACGACCACAATGGTATACGTTCGGCATGTACATTAATATACTCATCGTCGTCGTCATCATTCACGTTCCTAGCTCGAGAAGAGAAGGAACGTCACGCAGCGGCGATGGCGTATTCGCCGCTGAGCAGCGGAACCATGCCAGCGCCGCACCTTGTGGACAGCCTCTACGCCTGGTTAATGGCGGCCATGTGCTTTTGGATTCAGATATGGGTAGCCACCATCTTCCGCAGCGCTGGCGTCCTCCTGGTTGGCCTGGTGTCCGCCTTCCGCATCTCTCGCGAGCAGGCTGCGTGGCCCTTCGAGATCTGCAACACCATCAACCTGGCGCAAGGTAAGAGCCTTACGCGAACACACATCACGCGCTGTATTTTGCCCCCTGTTAGAAGCTAACGTTTGTTGCACTTTTGATGACACGAGGGCGACCTGGAATGTACGGGGTAGGACTGGTGCATAGAGGATCGCTCCAGTGAAATGCGATGTGGAGTCATATCACCGGTGCAGTGCATTGCATATCCAGGGTTGTTCTGTTGACATAATGTATGAAATCTTGATAGCATGTTTGAGAGGCTCCGTTCACGTTTGTATGCTGCAGCTTGGGCAACGTAGCTGTCTGCGGTATTCTGAAAAAAAATAAATAAACTAGCCTTACAAAGTTGCCGCGTACATTACGGCCTGTGTGCAATAAAATGTTTCTTTCTGTCCTGCAGGTTTCTTAGTTGGCATTTTGGTCAGATACTTTGACACCCGAGCGTTAAACTCGGGAGCAACGCTTGTGTCTGGAGTGAGCGCCATCACTTGCTCCCTTTGGGACACGCCTAGTGCCTACCTTGTATTTCTTGGCTTTATCTTCGGTAAGTTGGCCGTAGAGAGCCAAAATTTACTGATATATCGAACTGCCAGCTCTCCACGACCCTGGCTACGCCACAGTTCTCAATTTCATGGACGGATCAAAGCACCGAGCTAACGCACTACTAGTAGCTAGCTACGGCATATTTTTGTAAACTTCACGAAAATCGTGAATATTTTTAAAGCTGTTCTACCTGCAGCATAATGAAGCTAAAGGTTGAAGCTTTTTTCTACCATACGTACAGTGCCTTCTCATAGCCGAACCAAAGAAACATACGACATATCGGCTGACGAAATCATCATTTTCTAATCATCCTGATGTCGGCGTCACCCTCTGTGGAACAGTAGCTAGGGAGCTTGGCTGCCGTACGGAGGCCATCGCGGGTTTGATTCCGGCTAGATGGTCGCATTTCGATGGAGACCAAATAATAGAGGGCCGTGCACGTAGTGTGCGATGTGGGTGCACGTTAAAGAAAACCCGACGGTCAAAATTTTCCACAACCCTCCTCTACGACGTCTCTCATAATCTCATTTGCCCAAGTAGTGGTGTGTCAAATACATGACTAGTGGCTCAGGTTTCGACAGAAAAAAAGGACGCGAGCTGTCCTTTTCCTGATCTAACTGAAACGACAAATTTTTCTCCGAGCCCTGCAGCTCTATAACTAATAAAGCTCACCTGTACCTCTGAGGTGACGTGACAGTATCGTGGTTTTGTGAAGTAAAACCCCACATTGTCAACAAAGAGCATCGCGCTTTGATATGAAGCACGCCACGCGGGTTCATTGTCCCACCATGCGGGAAAACTTGCGTTCGTCGCGCGTCTGCGGAATCTCGTTTCCCGACGCCATCACGCGATTGCTGGGAGAGAGTAAGGGAGAGAGCAACCCAGCCCGTTGCACAGGCCCGAACGCGACAGAACGCCAGAAGCCCTGTCAGAACGCGCTAGCACTTCAGTGCGCTCTGGCAGTGCTTGGGCCAGCTGTTGCGCATGTGCAGTAAAGGTAGTCAGGTCACACACCACCAGGTCTAAATCCGCCATAAGCTGCTTCGCATCTTAAACCGCGTACAAACTCACCCTTCGATATCGAACAACAGGTCATAAAAATTACGCATATCACCTTCTCGGATAACTCTCGGCCGCGTCACGTGCTGCTGGTGACACTGCTGGCACGAGCTAGGGGCGTATGCAGAATTTTTTTTTCGATGATTAAATTGGACGGACAGGGGAGGGAGGAGGCACCGCCCAAATTTTCATTTTTCACTCTGTATGCCAAGGGGGAAAAATTTCGGGGGCTGCACAGTTCTGGTCGGCCAACATCTCTTTATGATCCTGGCAGAGCACGAATGTCTATGTAGGGAAGCTACGCCAAAACGCAGCTTTATATGTTGGCCAACTACGTGGTGCCGTTATCGTCGCACGTCATCCCCTTCATCTTATAAACGCGTGCCCGCGTGACGAAGGCAAGCAATGTTCAGATTGAAGTTTCCCATATCCTCGTGGCGCGTAGGTAGCAAGTTTAGGCAGACGTAATGGGCACCAACTGCGCCACAGTTTACACTTCCAAACCGGAAGTCGCTGAACAGGTTGCTATCGCGTTGGCCCTGACGGATGATCGATACACCGAGATATACAGTGACTCAAAACCAGCCATCAGTGCCTTCAGCAGGGGCAGGATCACACCACGAGCAGTTCGAATTATTAATAGTAAACAGGCCATTGATACACATTACATATATTGGTTCCCAGCGCACCTTGCATCACTCGATGACATTCCCATGAATCCAAATGAATCGGCCAACAGCGTTGCCCGCGAATTTACGGACCGGGACGCTTTTACACGTGGCTTTGATTCTGCTGGATTCGAAAATCTACAACGGGATACGCCCATGACATATAATGAAATTATTAAACATTACTACCTGGGGAGGAGAGAGTTTGCACCCCCTCACAGTAGACTAAACAGAGCACAAGCGGTCACACTTAGACAATTACAGACACAGTCTTATTACTCACCGGCACAGGTAAAAGAATGGTACGTTATAAAAGATATGGATGTTGTTTGCAAGGCATGTAAGAAAGAAGTATGCACGCTTGATCATATTGTTGCGCATGCCTGGGAAGAAAACGAAGATGGGTAAACAGGCTGGCTGCCCGAAGCTGGATGAAGAAGGAAGACGACGACACTGCGATCATAAACCTGTTGGCGGCTCCGGCGCTTCTCTTCACGACCAAAATAAACGGCCCCCTTCAGCCGTATACGTCCTGGTCCTCCTTGTGCGTAACAGATTGGTGGAGGTGCTGGGTAAGACAAATCCAACGACGGGAGCTTCACTTCCAGGACTTCGCCGCAGCCGCCGCCTTGCCGGACTCCCGCCTGCGCCAATCGTAATAGCCCAAGATCAGCCATCTAATGCTTCAAGGCCAACTCCAATGGGTTCCGTGCCCTACTACCGAGCCCCACCAACCTTCTGAGGAAAATCGGGAGAAGATTTCGACGCGTGGCTCGTCCAGTACAAGCGAGTCAGCAAGTCCAATGGCTGGGATGCCGCCGCTCAGCTCAGCAATGTGGTCTTCTGCCTTACGGATACTGCGCTTGTGTGGTACGACAACCACGAGGACACACTGACGACGTGGGACGTTTTTGTTGCGGAGCTGAAAGCGTGTTTCGGCGACTCGAGCATCAAAAGAAAGCGGGCTGAGCAGACATTGTCTCAACGCGCGCAGCTACCAGGTGAGACATGTACCGCGTATATAGAGGATGTGCTGAAGCTCTGCAAGGTGGTCAATGATCAGATGTCAGAAGAAGACAAAGTAGGGCATTTGCTGAAAGGCATAGCCAAAGATGTCTATAATTTTCTCATCGGAAAAGAGTATCTGAGCTCGGTGTCTGACGTGATTCGGCATTGCCGAACTTTCGAACAGCTGAAAATGCGCAGGATTGCTCCAAAGTTCGGCCGGCTCACAAATGTTACAACGGTTGCCAGCATCGACACGAGCTCCTGCCCAGACCTGTCCTCGACAATTCGTCAGATCGTTCGCGAAGAACTTTTTCGCTATAGAGAACAGACACACTCAGCAGTTGATCACCATTCTATAAACGACCAACATTCGGTATATGTGCCACGTGAGGCTATACCTGCGCCTCCGCCTTCTACGAACCCTTGGCAATCGATGGTCAGTGCAGCAGCTGTTGAGTACAGCGCACCCGCACAACCAAGGAGAGCACCACGCTTGCCAGCTTCTCGCCATGACCGGCGCCCTCAGCGTCCACCTTCTTCGTGACGCCCGGTCTATCCTTCTGATATACGGGACGAACCAAACCACTACGCCAGGGAAGACGATGTTCGATTCATTGACGAACAAACAGAATTTCGACCTCTCATGGTTTGCTACTGCTGTGGTGTTCCAGGACATATTTCGCGATTTTGCAACCGTCGACGTGTAGCCCCACGGTATGGCCACCCACCACACTTTGCACGGCCTTCCGAACGAATTCGCGACGACCCTCGAGAAATGTACCATGGCCCACCTCAACACTTCACACGATCGCCTGATCGACCGCACGACGACCCTAGGGCAACACACCTGCTGCCTCGTGAAGACTACTGGACACGCAGCTTCCGGAACCACTCCCCCACATCTGACAGGAGCTTGACGCCTCTACCGCCTCGTGTTCCCCGTTCTCCTTCACCACGGCGTCGCAACACGTCTCCTTTGCCACAGCAAAACTAGCAAGCGCGGCCGATGGAGGTGAGGTCGCCGGAGACGTGCTAATATCTGAAATACCTCCTGTGTTGATGCTCAAGAACAAAGTACGTGTTTTTGTTGACGATGTGCCTATGATGGCTTTGGTGGATACGGGGGCAACCATTTCGGTCATGAGTGCGTGTTTTAAAGATACCTTAGGGCGGAAGGTTTTATTTAAGTGGAATCCAGCTTCGAAGTTTTGCGGAGTGAGTGGTGAGGCACTGCATCCTGTTGGTGTGTGTCAAGCTGACGTGTTTCTCGGAGGCCGCGTTATCCCAACGGAGTTCGTGATTATTCCGCAGGCGACACATGATGTTATTTTGGGTATGGACTTTTTGAGGGAGTGCGGTGCGACTGTCGACTGCTGCACAGGGACAATAGTCTTGAGTGAAGACGTTCCGCCAGCACTCTTGGAAAATCCTGTGGATGGTGAGACGGCATTGTGTGTATGTGGCGACACTATCATACCACCGTTATCAACCGTTCGTGTACCTGTTGGTTGCAGCGACAGCTATTTCGCCAACTTTGATGCTAACGTAGAACCAGTGTACACCAATTGCATGAAAAAGAATATGTTGATCCCACATTGTGTGGTGTCGATCAGACGTGGACGCGCTGGTTTATGGACTGTCAATTGCTCTACAGAACCCGTGATGTTGCCAGATGGTCTAAAGTTAGCCGTCGTCAGTGGACAACACGAGGCCTTACTGGTGACCCAGCTTAGAGATGCGCCGGAAGAGCATCGTAGTCACAGTTTTGAAACGGCTCTTCTGTCAATGATGAATAAGTCGCTGAGCACAAGTGAACGCCGAACATTAGTCCATGTACATTCGAAGCACGTCTCTGCATTCGACTTTGCGCAGAAAGACAAAGCGTCCCTAATCCCTGCTTCTCGGACATGTCACACTATCCACACGGGTTTGGCCAATCCGATTAGACAAAAGCCATACCGTGTTTCACCATCCGAGCGGCGGATTATTAATGAGCAGGTGAACGAAATGATTGAAAACGGTATCATTCAAGAGTCGGTAAGTCCGTGGGCAGCTCCAGTAATTCTCATTAAAAAGAAAGACGGATCCTGGAGATTTTGCGTCGATTATCGCCGATTGGATGCTGTAACAAAAAAAGACGTGTACCCACTTCCACGTATTGATGATGCCATAGACTGTCTGCATTCGGCCTCTTACTTTTCCTCTGGAGACTTAAGATCGGGCTACTGGCAAATTCTCATGCATCCTGAAGATAAAGAAAAGACAGCCTTTGTAAACCCTGACGGCCTTTTTGAATTCAACGTGATGCCATTTGGACTGTGCAACGCGCCGGCGACGTTCGAACAATTTATGGACACTGTTCTTCGTGGCTTGAAGTGGAGCATTTGCATGTGCTATCTCGACGACGTCGTCATCTTTGGCCGCACCTTCAGCGAACACAATTCACATCCGGATACTGTACTGACTTGCATAAGAAACGCTGGCCTTGTTCTTAACTCAAATAAATGCCACTTCGGAGACCGACAAACCCTTGTTCTCGGACACCTAGTCGATCAGGAGGGCATGCGTCCAGATCCCCAGAAGACAGCAGCCGTTGAAATGTTCAATGTGCCGCGCTCTGTGAAGGAGCTCCGCAGTTTTTGGGGGCTTTGCTCCTAGTTTCGCCGCTTTATACCTAAATTTGCCGATGTCGCGTATCCGCTGACATGTTTGCTACGGAAGAATACTCCCTTCGAGTGGACTCCGGAGTGCGACTCCTTTTTTCGTCAACTGAAGTTCCTCCTGACGTCGCGGCCTGTTCTTCAACACTTCAACCCATCAGCTCCAACCGAACTGCACACAGATGCCAGCGGCATAGGAATTGGTGCCGTCCTAGTTCAACGCTATGGTAACCGCGAGCACGTGATTGCATACGCAAGTCGCTCCTCGAGTAGGCCCGAGCAGAATTACACTGTCACAGAACAAGAATGCCTCGCGGTAGTATTTGCGATTCAGCGGTTTCGGTCTTACATATATGGACGCCCTTTTACAGTCGTCACCGACCACCACTCATTGTGTTGGCTCGTCAACCTTCGGGATCCTTGTGGCCGTCTAGCGCGCTGGGCACTTCAGCTCCAAGAGTATAACTTCATTGTCTCGTACAAAAGTGGTCGACGACACGCCGACGCAGATTGCCTTTCGCGCATGCCACTGAGCACTACAGAGTGTGATGCCGATGACCTCGACCATCTCGTAGCTTCTGTGTCACAAAAGTTTCCCGACCTCAGTACTTTCAAAGATGAACAGCGAAAGGACACTAGGCTATCATTGCTTTGCACAGCTCCTACGGCATGCCATTTCTGTGTACGCAACGGACTCCTATATAAGAAGAACTTTTCCAGCACTGGCGCACGTATCCTCCTGGTAGTGCCATAAAGCCTTCGAACAGCGATTCTAGGTGCTATGCACGACGATCCTACGTCCGGACATTTAGGTTCTGCACGGACGCTTTACCGTGCTAAGGAACGCTTTTATTGGCCAGGAATGCGACAGTCAGTCGAGGCGTATGTGGCCAGCTGCACACAGTGTCAACGCCACAAACGCCCATCTACTGCTCCGGCTGGTCTTCTACAGCCCTTGCCACCTCCAAGCACAACTTTCCAACAGGTGGGCATTGACCTCGTGGGCCCTTTTCCAAAGTCGGTTAAGGGCAATCGCTGGATAATTGTATGTGTCGATTACCTCACGCGCTACTGTGAGACGGTGGCCATACCAACCGCAACTGCCTGCGACGTCTCTGTGTTCCTGCTGCAGCACGTTATCTTCCGACATGGCCCACCTCACGTGATCATCACTGATCGTGGGCGACAATTTACGGCAGATATAGTAGAAGAGCTGCTTCGATTGAGTGAGTCCCGCCTTCGTCACTCGTCGCCATACCATCCACAAACAAATGGGCTCACGGAGCACACCAACCGAACAATTGTAAACATGCTCTCTATGTATGTGGCATCCGACCACAAGAACTGGGATGACGTGCTACCATTTATAACGTACGCGTTCAACACCGCTAAGCACGAGACAACAGGCTATAGCCCCTTTTTCTTGATCTACGCACGACCGCCACGGCACACACTCGACACACTTTTGCCATTCTCGGCGCACGAGAACCTCTCTGTCACCGAAATCCTCTGCCTTGCAGAAGAGGCGCGTCGTATTGCTTGTCTACGCACTTTGGCATCAGAAAATCGAAGATACGCTATGACGTCCGCCACCGGCCCGTAACTTACCATCCAGGTGACTTAGTGTGGCTGTGGACTTCGGTACGAAGACGCGGGTTATGCCAAAAGTTCTTGGCCACATACGACGGACCGTTTGTTGTTCTCGACAAAATCACGGAAGTCACATACACAATAGCTCACCTCACGAGAAGTGGTAGAAGAGCCACTAAAACCCAAGCAGTCCATGTCGCCCGACTGAAGTTGTGCACACCAAGGTGAATCAGTTACCTCGCCCGGCGGGCTTCGTCTGCGAGGGGAGGGATGTTGCGCATGCCTGGGAAGAAAACGAAGATCGGTAAACAGGCTGGCTGACCGAAGCTGGAGGAAGAAGGAAGACGACGACACTGCGATCATCAACCTGTTGGCGGCTCCGGCGCTCCTCTTCGCGACCAAAATAAACGGCCCCCTTCAGCCGTATACGTCCTGGTCCTCCTTGTGCGTAACGATATGCTCTGGGAATGTGGGTCGCTTGGCCGTGGCATTTCCCGGGAACGGTTTACAAGAATGATAGTCTCACGACCATATCCCCCAAGTCCTGGCTGTCCAGTACGCCCATGACAGGGCTAGGAGGCTTGACCTCCCAGTCCCAACGTGGGATTAGCCAGGCAGGTCGCTACACCCTGTATAGGACGTATAAATAAAGTTGTTTCCGTCCATTCACGTAATGGGCAATGCCGAGTGTATCTATTGGTCGCGAGGGTCTCCACTTGAAAGGCGAGTGTGGAGTTTAGAACAAGTGGTTAACGATTTAGAGTACTGGGTACTCTACTATGGGAGAGCATGAAGCCGTCCCGAGGGAAGGTCCCTTCCTAATGATCGTTGTGACGTCACATATAGAATAGTAGTTGTGGAATACGGCAGCTTTGCTTTCGCGACACCACTTGCATCGTCCCCCGTGGCTGCACCGGTTCTTAGTCACGATTTTACGATGCAAATTAGACACGAGAGTGTCATTGGTAGTTTGCTTACCCTTATTATCATCTCTTATCGCTTTTTTAAGCACTGAGCCTCAAAACAAAGAAAAGCATGCCCGGTGTCCACAGCAAAAGCGCAGAAAATGCGGTGTTCTAGCAGACAAAGTCATTCCGGCATCCTATGAGTGACGTCATCACTTAGGTGGCGCCCGGTATGTCCTCGAGGCCAATAGCGCTCGTCAGCTCAAAATGCTCAGATCTTGTTAGGGGCTCTAAAGGACTATACTCTTCAGCTAATAAAAACACCAGTTCAGAGCTAACGAGTTGCAGGTTACTCAAGATCCTCTTGGTAGGCTCGTTGGGGATGGCAACCGCTTTCGGTGATGCAGCCATGTTTTTTGTGGAGGAGGGGAGGTAATGCGCAGTTCACTCCCGGTTATTCCGCTATATGCAAACCATCTTTCGTATTACCGGGCGTATTAAAACGTTCCATTCCTGTCGCGCGCTCAGGTGCCGGGTCGGGTCTCATGATTCCCACAAGCGTGGTGGTTCTGAACCGCTACTTCGACGTGTACCGGGCCTCGGCGAGTGGCCTGAGCTTCGCAGAAGGGGCGCTCAGTAGCATCCTGCTGCCGCCGCTCATCGGGATGCTGCTGGACACGTACGGCCTGCAGGGCACCATGCTCATCGTGGGCGCTCTCATGCTCAACACGATGGCCGACTCCATCGCACTCCGCTCGTCGCCCAGCTTCCCGAGGCCGCTAGTCCTCCCCGTAATCAGCAGCACGGTCACGAGATGTAGCAGCAGCAAAAACTCGCAGAGCAAGAACATCATCAGTTACCTCCTGGTGTGGGATAGCGGCATCGTCGTTTCCTCTCTGCCGCCTCGCTCATCTGCACATCAACGGCGAAGTCATCGAGGGGTGAGATTGCGCATCTAGTGCAAAACTGGCGTTGGCGACTTGCGGGTCAGCAGCCAAGTACCTTAGCCAATAGACCACCGCGGCGCGGGGCAGGGGTAAAACTTTACCAAGATATTCGAGCACGTACAGGGCTGGTCGAAAATTCCCATGTCACTATCTGATGTATTCCTACAGCAGAAAGACCCAAGAACGTTTGACAACCTCCCCCTCCACGTACGCCCCAGGGTCCCTGCACGACCCCACTGCGTTGCGTGTCTGTGAGTTCATGTAGTTCAATGACGTGGGTGGCTCGGTTAGTGGCGATCTTCCACTTGGCCAGTGGTGTACGTTCAAACGGTTGTTTCTGAGCGCTAGAATGCACGTTAAAAGCGCCAGGCGGTCGAAATTTCCGGAGCCCTGCACTACGGCGTCTCTCGTAATCATATGCTGGTTTTGGGACGTTAAAGCCCAGATATCTATTTATCTATCTATCTGAGCGCTCGAAGTATTCAGAATTTTTTTAATTTGAAATAATGCAGGCCAAAATTTCAGCTTGAGCAAGATGGTCGTCACGAACTGCGAAAAAGGAACTAACACAACAGGTGTAAAATGTGAAAGACCAACAACTACTGTAATTAAAGAGATTACCAACTAAAGTAACCAATCTAGTACATGACTGAAGGACTAACATGAAGTGCATGCCTGCATACATGGCCTGCATACCTGATTGTCTTGGTTGTGAAGCATTAAAGCTTTTGAATTTATTCACCACTTTTAAACACAATCCCAACGCTCTCAAATGATCACCCGAATGAGTACGGGCACCACCCTAACAGAGCCTCGTTTTTCTTACATGCATATGCAGCCGAGCACATACTTCTCCCTGTCTGATTATTCATTAAAGCCTGCTCAAGTATAGCAATGGATGGTTCATGGTTCAAGTTAGGAGTTCTGTGAGATACGTGTGATATCGCAGCATGATTTGACTTAAGCTAAGAATCAATGAACTGCCTGGATTCCGTCTGCATGCGCTCTCTCGCGAAAAGCAGGTCACGTGGGCTTTTAGTTAACTCGATTCGCTTGCCGTATTCGGCTTGATTCATCGCGCTACAAGGCCCTTGAGGCTTTCTGCCTTAAGGAATAACACAGGCGGTATCGGCACGTTAAACCCCACATATCAATCAAATCATCAATAACACAGGCGTGAACTTGAGACAATAGAGCTGTATAGATTCTAAAGCATGAACATATTCTTAAGAAGCACTAGAAAAGACACATGGACTAAGAAAAGAATAAGCGCAGCTCTGACATGCGCAGAATGAAGCGCCTCTCCCGTGTGTATCTCTGCGTCGTCCCCGCGTCCTTCGTCCCCGCGCTTCTTATGCTAGGGCCGATTGCAACCAGTTCAAATAGCTGTGTTGCGTAAGCTTACGTCCGCTGCTCTGTGTCGAATGTGGGAGCAACGAATAGGCAGGTCATCGAGAAGAAAAAAACGGTTAAATGAGGGCGAATAGAAGCTTAGCTTTCGTGTTGGTATTTAGAATCAGACAAGATACAAGAGAAGGACTCAGTGTGCTCGAGGCAGGTAATGGGCTTTTAGTACGGTTAGCGTTGAGGTGATAGGTGTCCTTCGGTTGTTAAATTGTGGTTACACGCATGCGTTTCCATGTATTGGAAAGAAAACCTGGCCGTCTTTTGTGAATGAACTTCAGTTTGAAGGAGAACGCTCGTTTGTGTCTTTTATATCTTGTCCGTTTCGCTCTCTTCACTACCGATATAAATCAGTACAAAATCGCCTGATTGACTGTGCCTCTAAATGTTAGCCTATATCCGCATTCATTCTGTGTACTCATCGGTGTTCTCAGGGTTCCCCTTCAACAGGGGGTGGGTGAGCGGGATCAAGTCAAATGTTCCATCCAGAGCCCTCATTTCCTACTAATTCAATATATGTAGCAGGCAAGGGAGGAGGTCACTTTCACTTCCCCTCTTGTGCTCACGTCTGTGTTTGTGATTGATGTTTATCTCGGCCCCGCCGTGGTGGTCTAGTGGCTAAGGTACTCAGCTGCTGTACCCGTAGGTCGCGGGTTCGTATCCCGGCTGCGGCGGCTGCATTTCCGATGGAGGTGGAAATGTTGTAGGCCCGTGTGCTCAAATTTGGGTGCACGCTTAAAGAACCCCAGGTTGTCGAAATTTCCGGAGCCCTTCACTACGGTGTCTCTCACAATCATATGGTGGTTTTGGGACGTTAAACCCCACATATCAATCGATGTTTTTCTCCGACTTACCTCCGATGTGTTAAATCGTAGCATCACGCCAGCTTTGCGCTCTGATCTCTGAGTAGAACGAGTGAAGTGCAGGCATCCCAAAAATGATTATTCTCGTGGAAGCAGGGGCGTTTAGGCGAAGATAGTAAAGGTGGGCAAGAGATATGTGCACCACTTCGTGTGACTAATATAGCTGCGTTGTGAAATGATAAGAGGCGATAACGGACAGATTCGTTCTAGTGCTACACAACGGAGCCTTGTACGCCCACAAAACCTATATGTGACTTATTGTATACGGATGAAATTATCCATAAAGGCACCCCCGTCAAGTCACATTACTTTTGCATACTTTTCTTGCGCGATATAACAAGAGCCCGACACCTGCAACGGAATAAGAGAAGATGTGATCAGCGCAGATGTTCAGCTTTTTTCGCGACCCGATTTTCGTGCAGCTGATGACGACCGGTATGTTGTACGGCGACGTGTTCAGCACCTACACGATAACGATAGTGGACCACGCGGTTGGTGCGGCGCATGCCAGCAACGAGGACGGCGCCAGTGCTGGTCTCGGCCATGGCCATCGGCGACTTCGTCAGCCGACTCGGCACGGGCTACCTCACGGACCGGCACTACATCACCCGTGAGTGGATGCTCATCATCAACTTCACCGTACATGTATCTAATAGAAAGCTGAGCGACAAAAACTGTTCTGGCAGAGGGCATCTTGGTAGTCAAATAAGGGACTGTCAAAAAAGAAACATCTGAAGTATCCTAAATGGCCGTATTTTTTTAGCATGACGACACTAGATAGCTGAGAGACCGGAGGTAGCATCATCTTAATCGTTGGCCCAAAAAGAGAAAAAAAAAACGTCTGCGCTGCACCGATTGCTGCCTCCGGTCTCGTATCGCAATGCACCTAGCAGCCGTTTTTTCGTCGAATTGTCTTCTTTTCTTTCATACTCCTTCACCCTTTTCTTTATTTTTGTACTGGTACCGTACAGCCATCGCTCAGTGTCCCTCGTAGTCGCCGATAGCCTGTTCAAGCAACCTTCGTGCGTGAGAAGCCTTCGCTAATTCATTCAACCTACATTTGAGGGCCAGTAAAAGTGCAGCGCGTTAGGCGGATATCACGTGGTAGTTTTTTTAATATATTTCGCACTCTTTAAACCAATCCTAGAAAAAATAAGCCTTGTTATGTTGCCGTAACTTGAAAATTTTGTCATTTCTGGATAAGAGCTACTAGTCTTGTACTAATTGTGTTGCTAGAGTCGGTATTTAAAAAGTTTATTAAGCATTTTGTGTTAATTACTGTGCTTGGCGGGTCAAAAAAAATATTCTGCCGTGCTGCATACAGCTAAAAACAATACTGGACTAGCTGGGGACGCGAGGCACTCATTTTTAATGTTTTTATTGCTTGGTGCTTTTTAGCTGAAACACCCTGTATACACGACCGCAAGTTAAGGGCAACAAATAAACTACCCAATGCCCTGCTCCTCACCTCCGCTCTTTACCTATAGATAGCGCTGTCCTCAGGGTGACTGAATACAGTAACTCTATAGGTGGCTGCATGTGGGCAGCGAACCCTTCGGCAATGGAGGAAGCATATAACGATGGGGAACGGATGTGCAGCTGTAGATAACAAAAGGGGTCATTTGAAAGTAATAACAAAATTGTACTGGCATTTTCACTTGATCGTTTAACCTGAGTGATATATCAAATATAGATATGCTAGATCCCACCTATACAAGCCACACAGTAGCTATAATTTCCTGAACGTACCAATCATTTTGTGGCTGCTCTGTAAGGTCAAGCTCTCTGATCTGGCGACGAGGCACAAGCTGGCTGTTAACAGTATAGCTGCTTAGGAAATAACTATCATCATTATCAAAGGGTATGGACAACATAAACAGGGACTGGTCACTACAGGTCCACTAGAAATTAAGATAGTGTAAGGGCATTTGACATCTACGATCGACGACAATGAACAGGGGCGACAGTCAAGGCAAAGTACAAACTCTCAGCTCTAGCTAGCAGTGCTCTGTCATAAAGAAGCCGAAAGAGGACGACCCTCTAGAAGGTGCTAGAAAAGATGACCCATCAGATAACCTTAAGGTTTTTTTTTTTTGTAAAGGTGATTTCAGTTGGCCCGAAAAATGGCGCCGAAGCAACAAAGGCAAGCCGAAAACTCCGAATTTGCACAAGAATACTAGGTAGCGGGAAAGAAAACGGTGGCTGCGAAAAGACCTCGAAGTGATGGAAGGCCTACGCCGCCGCCAACGTGTCCGTAGGTGTCTTAAAGGTGCACACGTTTTCTTTCAGGGTTGAGTTTCCGTCTCTAGAGTTTGTAGCTCTAACCTCCCTGCATAGAATCAGCGTAAAAACAACCTGCGGCATCACTTCTAAAGCATCGCAGTGACCAAAAAGCAACCTCTAACCCACGTCACGTAGAAAAATAACCTAGAAGAAACCATAGCCCTCAAGACTGCTTCGTTGTTTCAAGCCTTTCGTGGCTCAGCGCTTGATTCGTCAATTGTCAGCTTTATTTTCAAGCCATGACTTGAATTTCTAAATACTAAAGTTATCCATCCATTTCTTTCAAAAAGCAGGCTGCTGATAGGTGCTGAGACAAGTGGCATACGACCTACGCACTACGTCACTGACGGGATCAAGACCGAGGACTAACTGCGGCTCTAAAGCTTTAGGTTATCAAATAATTTCTTTGTGTAATGTATACCCATTTTGAACCATACTGGCCGATGAAATTCCCGCTATTTCTCAGGTAAAAAAAGAACAAGTGAAACCTTCAAGCATATAAATTTTCAATGATGTATCATGAAATACTGATGTTTATCTTCTGCTATATTCTGTACGCGCTCCATATGCTAAGGCTAAAGTTTGTATAAACTTTTCTTTTATATTCATGTCAAAGTGTTTTCTTTTTAATTTCATTCTTATTTGCATATTGAGAAATTAACACTGTAATTATTTCTATAATTGACACGTTCTCACCGGTTTTGTTTCTGCTGTCGGACAAGTAAGTCCGGGGAGAAGGCCTCGTCAGGAGACATATGAGCCTCCTTTTGCCTGACATCATGGACATATTTCACACAGCGAACAAATCGAAGCTGAAGTTTGTCCCACATCGTGAATATTCCGGCTTTACGCCCCTGTAACTGTACACGTTCTGCCCTCAAAACCGTTGCATTGCAGGGCGTGTGCTACGCGCTGTTAGCTAACCTGACCACCGTGGCTTACATGGCGGTGGTGGGATTGGTGTTCGGCCTGAACAACGGCCCAACAATAGCGTCGATGCCCGTGCTAATAGCCGACCACCTGGACGACGAACACCTGCCGCTCGCGTTCGGTCTGCACCGGCTCACCATGGGAATGGCGACGCTCTTCAGGCCTCTGCTCATTGGTGAGAGCATAAAGGCCCGACCTCACGTATCCGTCGCAGCGCGTCGACGCATGTCTTTCTGACGCCACGGCGTGCCCTCTCTCCGTAGAGAGAGTGGGTGCGTGGCGACGCGAAGCCACATTTTTTTCTCTCTCTCTCTTTCTCACTCTCTCTCTGTAGGAGGGGCTCGACGCCGCGTCAAAAAGGCACGCGTCGACGCGCTGCGACAGATACGAGGGGGCCGGCCTGAAGTACGTTTGCTCAAGGCAACACACGATGTGAACCGAATTGAGTGTTCTGACAATTTCTGCCATAGGAGTAAGCGAAGGAAGGGGGGGGGGGGAGTTGCGCTTTTAATCATCTTTAGGAGTGGGGCGCCTTTTCTGTCGCACACCTTCACTCCGTCGGACCTTTCGTGTAATTTTACTCACGTAATTACCGCAATTTCACGTTATTACGTTTTACAGCATTTTTAATGCACGGGGTTGTGGTTGCGCATGTTTCAGGGGCATATGTCGTTGAAGAGCTTGTTTCGCTGAAGTTCCGATGTCCGCGGTGGTGTCGCTGGTTATGAGCGAGAAACGCAGCGTTGTGCGTTGGCAAGAGTTCGAGACGGACGCAGGGAAATAAATGAGCAATATTCCTTCCCTTTGAAAATCTAACCTAGGCCTTCTGCGTGGCAAGCAGATGCCCTATCACACAGACACTCCAGTTCTTAAAACAGCTTCTGCGAAAATAAAAACTATATGGATTTCATGTGCTGGGCGAAGTTTTCTTAACACACGCAGTATTGCGTTGTAGTCGCAACGGGAACCAAAAGGTGAGAATTGCGCAACGAGCGGCTGCCTACTGCCCACTCGTCACAAAGGGGCAAAGCTACTTAGGTGGCAATTTACGGACGCGTTGTGGGTATTTGCAAGAGGAAGAATTACGACGCTTTAGCACTTGCATCTACAGCAGTAGTAGCTTAGGTGGCCAATTGTCGCACACTCAAATTTTGCGTAACGGTTAAAGACGGTGCGCATGGGACGCGATTACGCTGTCGCGTTCTACTCTAAGCTGAAGCCTCCTCCGAATTTATTATTTTAGTTTTTGTAGCGTGAGCTACACTGGCCGAGGTTGAGCAGTTTCGCGTGGCTTACGGAGAGCAGTTCTGCGCAAGCGTGGGGAGCGGTGACGTCACACGGTGCGCTGCTCGCACTTGACTCGCGTGAGATGGCTCGAACGCTAGTCCGCCTGTCAGTCCGTCCGTCTGTTCATTCAAGGTTTGTGCGTCCCTCCCTAGCTCACGCTACGGATATCTTGGCACATCCGAGCTAAGCCATTGCTATATTTGTCTTTTTTTATGTTAATGGCGAACAATAATTCCTGATGTTGCATTGAAAGAACTATTTCTCACCTTGGCCTCTGAAAGACAGGAATATTGCAGCCCTTCGTGAGACGCACTTGCCCACTTCGTTTTGAAGCCATTTCGGAACTCTTTTTTATCGAGACTCGACCGACGGAGGGCAAGAGGAGAGGAGGTTGTACGCTGCGCACGCCTGTGCTGGGAAGGTTCAAAAACCCCCACGAAATGTTCCAATTTCGCATCTTCGTGTCGGCGCAAAACGTGCGCAAGACAGGCGCACGAACGTACACCCGGGAATCGACGTCACTTTCGTAGCCCTGAAATAATGTTGCCACACGCTCAAAGAGCTTGCCAAGTCACGTCGCCGGGCTAGTTCGTTAAGTTTCATCATTCATATGGCTGTATCGCACCACGACAGCGACGTAAAAGGGAGACCCACCTAGTGATCTGTGTGTGTGAGTCTCTGTTGTGTTCTTGTGGTGTGCTTAGGCACATGAAGGCCCAAAGAGTAATTTCGACTGTGAGCGTGAGTGCTTCCAAGAAAGCCCAGTGAGGTTCAGAGGAGCCGTAGCGATATCAATTCGATGCTTCGCAGGCTACTTCAAAGACAAGCAAGGCTCGTACAACGGCCTCTACTACCTGGTGGCCGGCGCTTGCGCTGCCGTGGTGGTCCTGTGGTGCATCATCGTGACCGCCAGCTCCATCAAGTCACTTTTCCTGAAAAGGCCCGCCCACGAAAACGATCTTCCTATGCCTGCCTGAGCATCGCATTAATTGTATTTTCGCGTTTTTTTTTCTTTGATCGGTTTGCGCGATCGTTTTCTGTGCTCTTTCTTTTTAACTTTTGTATTCTTACAAGAATATTGATAATTTTATACCACTGCATACAATTTTACAATCATACACGCCTCGGATATTCATTTTTTTAGAAGCGAAGTTTCTTAGCCCGTACTCCGACGTCGTAGTTCCCTGCGCTGGGCAAGCGCACCAAGCAGAATGCGTGCCACTGGCGCAGCAGGGGCGCTGCGCACTCACTCGCTCAGTCCATGGCCTCCGAGATGGAAGCACTCGGTGGGAAACCCGCCGCGCGTCTCCCATCTCAGAGGTCATGCTCAGTCGTTCCCGCCACCGAGCGCAGCAGACACTCTCCCCAACCTACAGACTTCATGAAGGCCAGCAGCTACATCAGGCGCGTAGTTGATTGCGTTCCATTTCCAAGGAGCTTCGCTCATCGGTTGTATTCGTACACGGAATAACTGCTAGTTTTTAGTGGCGAAGCTCCTTATTGTCTAGCCTTAATTCTTAAGGTCTATGCCAAAAGAGACCATTGCGTAGGCGTAGAGTACTGGGGGCTGCGGTGCTCGGACCACCTCCTGGCTGCTTGATGGCGGACATAGCACCCCCGCCCCCCCGGCGCTGGCCCGTGATAATGATGAAAATCTTGGCTTAGGCCCTCATCCATTGCCAACAAACTGTTGGTCACCCTTGTTCTTGCAGCTATTTCGCAGGAAAAGTTTATGCCCGCTCCTTTTCTTTTGAGCATATTGATATTCGGGTCATGAGACAGGTAGTAGGGAGTTCGGCGCGCTAGAGCCGCATTAAAAATGAAGTCACAGGATGACGAAAACTGTGTCATTTGCACGGCTGTTGTGAAAAATAAGTACGGGTGGATGCATACGCATCAAGAAAATGAAACTATTCACGTAACAGACACTTGATTATTGCCTTAGTGCTTTATATATATATATATATATATATATATATATATATATATATATATATATATATATATATATATATATATATATATATATATATATATATATATATATTGTACAACCGCGAAGGCATAGCGGATACAAAAAAATGTAGGACTGCTTTTGAACAAAGGTGTCTGCGTAGCTAGGGGTCTTGTTCACTTGACGAATGGCCGTGCAGATGTCCTACTCACAAATTTCTCCAATGAGCTTCAACACATCGCTCAAGTCACGGCTATCGCCTATTTACACGACTTCTGTATGGCGACCGAACTATGCAGCTTAACGACATCAACCACTCGACCAGTGGCCTGCAACATCGACACATCCGTGACCGTCAATCAGAGCCTTCCGGACAGTCAGAACAAACAGATTTACGCCTTGGTAAAAGAATTCTCTGATTGCTTTTCAAGTATCCCGAAGGTCCAGCGCACGTCAATCACGAAACACAGAATTATAACGCAAGACGACACGAGGCCTATATGCCAGCATCCATATCGGGTGTCACAGAAAGAACGGGAAATTATCAAGAAGCAAGTGGAGGAGATGCTTTCTGATGATGTCATCCAGCCTTCGAATAGTCCATGGGCGTCTCCCGTAGTGCTCGTTAAGAAGAAAGACAACACACTTAGATTCTGCGTCGACTACAGAAAACTGAACAGTGTAACTAAACGAGATGTCTACCCCTTGCCACGTATCGACGATACACTAGATCGGTTGCGATCCGCAAAGTTTTTCTCTTCCTTAGATCTGAAAAGCGGATATTGGCAAATAGAGGTCGACGAGCGGGACCGTGAAAAAACGGCATTCGTAACACCAGATAGCCTCTATGAATTCAAAGCGCTTCCATTCGGCCTCTGTTCCGCACCAGCGACGTTCCAGCGAATGATGGACACTGTCCTCGCCGGATTGAAATGGCAGTCATGCCTAGTGTATTTGGATGACGTGGTGGTATTCTCTGCAACGTTCGACAAACATCTAGAGCGACTACGCACAGTATTGGAAGCCATCCGGTCAGCGAAATTGACAATCAAACCCGAAAAATGCCACTTCGGTTTCGAAGAGCTGCGATTCCTTGGACATGTCATTAGTTCCGAGGGTGTTCGTCCCGATCCCGAAAAGACAGCCGCTGTTCAGAGGTTCCCTACACCCAGAGACAAAAAGTCAGTGCGTCGATTTTGGGGTTTATGTGCCTATTATAGACGATTTGTGAAAAACTTCTCAAAGATTGCGGAACCTCTTACAAAACTGACAAAAGACGACGTGCCCTTCACGTGGGAAAGCGAACAACAGAAAGCTTTTGACGAATTAAGGAAACGACTACAGGGTTCACCAATACTTGCCCATTTTGATGAGACAGCCGACACAGAAGTCCATACCGATGCCAGCAATGTCGGCCTCGGCGCCATCCTTGTCCAGTGGCAAAATGGTCAAGAGAAAGTGTTAGCCTATGCCAGCCGCAAACTATCAAAAGCTCAGGTAAACTACTCTGCAACTGAAAAAGAGTGCCTCGCAGTCATCTGGGCCATAAACAAGTTTCGACCCTACCTTTATGGTAGACCGTTCAGAGCTGTCAGTGACCACCATGCTCTATGCTGGCTGGCAAATCTCAAGGACCCGTCAGGTCGACTAGCAAGATGGAGCCTTAGGCTGCAGGAGTATGATATTACGGTCGTGTACAAATCGGGAAGGAAACACAGCGATGCCGACTGCCTGTCACGCTCTCCCGTCGATCCAAGTGTACCTGAAGAGGAAGACTTCCCGTTTCTAGGCGTTGTCGACACATCCAAAATCGCTCAACTACAACGAGATGACCCGGATTTGCTGGCACTTATACAACACCTGCAGGGTCTCGACGTTCAAGTCCCTCGCATATTCTCCAGAGGGCTCTCCGCGTTCTGCCTTCGAGGAAGTGTCCTTTACAGGAGGAACTTCGAACCTAATGGTGAAACGTTTTTACTAGTCGTGCCCACAGCCATGCGAGAGGAAATTCTGCACGCATGCCACGACGAGCGAACATCTGGACACATGGGTGTGAGCCGAACATTCGCCAGGATTCGCCTGAAATACTATTGGCCTAAGTTGCTCGCATCAGTGCAGCGCTACGTGAAAACTTGTCGTCAATGTCAACGGCGCAAAACTCCACCCGTAAAACCAGCCGGCCTTCTCGAGCCAATAGACCCTCCAGATGCCCCATTCCAACAAGTCGGCATGGACTTCCTAGGACCTTTGCCGACATCGCGTGCAGGCAAGAAATGGATAGTCGTAGCCACAGACTATCTCACCCGTTATGCTGAAACTGACTCTCTATACAGTGCGACAGCTGCCGAAGTCGCCAAGTTCTTTGTGAACAACATAGTGCTCAGACATGGTGCGCCCATCGTCGTTATTACGGATCGGGGCACAGCATTTACTGCAGACCTTATGCAATGTCTGATGCGCATGACAAATACCGATCACAGAAGAACAACGGAGTATCACCCTCAGTCAAATGGCTTAACCGAACGCCTCAACAGAACTTTGACCGACATGCTATCAATGTAGGTTGATGTTGAACATAAACAGTGGGACGAAATATTACCCTACGTAACATTCGCATATAATACAGCCGTTCAAGGAACAACCCACGTTGCCGCTTTCAAACTAGTATTTGGCCGAAGAGTGACCACCCCGCTGGATGCCATGTTACCACTACAGGACGAAAGCAGCTATCCACCTGACTTAGATGACTTCTTGCAAAGAGCCGAAGAAGCACGGCAAATGGCAAGATACCGAATACGCCACCAACAGCACGTCGATTCTAGTCGCTACAACAAGCGACGCAGTGACACACTTTATCATCCCGGTGACAAAGTGTGGATATGGATACCAGTGCGCCGCCGCGGACTCTCTGAAAAGCTTCTTTGCCGATACTTCGGCCCTTATGAAGTACTCAACCATATTAGCAACGTCACTTATGAAGTTAGATCCGCTGGACACGTGAGTTCAAGACGCCGCAATCCCACGGAAGTGGTACACGTAGTCCGCATGAAGCCCTATCATGACAGATCGTCGAAAAACGAGTGAGAGTGCGCGTGTATCTTTTCACTGTCTTAAGCATCGGTACGATGCGTCTGAGGAGGGGGGCAATGCTGCGACAGGTTCGCCACATTCAAGTAGCCCGCCACAATCATCGTGGCACCAGCACCAGCAAGACCCGGCTCGGCTGGCATGCGCCACGCGTTCGCACGTTCAACAACGAGGAAGAGGACGATAGTCGGATCTGTGCCACTCGGCTACTCGAACTTGACGACCATAGTTTTTAGAATCGTGGGCACAAGTTCGCCCTAATAAAGACGCTTGTTTTCTTAACCTGTCGGCGTCAGCATCGCTACAATATATATATATATATATATATATATATATATATATATATATATTGTGGGCATTTGTTACATCATCATCATCACTGCATGATCACAATCCCCATCATCAGCTTGTCTCTTTGCCCTCATTGCCACTCTGGGTCATCATCATCGCCATCGTCTGTGTACTGGCTCTGCCCGTTCGTTTTGCAATGTCTTTCCTCAAATAAACGCTGACGCAGCCAGGACTACCAAGACTTCATACGTGGTAGAGGTGGACTTCCGGTCCTCTGACCTCCCGCAGCCAGCTATACCTTCTGAAGCTTCGTTCAGGCCACCGCTTGCGCCCACAGTCGGGCAGCATGTCCCAGACCTAGCCTGCGGGCACTGATATCATCAACCACGCACCGCCGCAAGCTGCCCCTCCTACTTACATACACAGACATCAGCGGGAACCCCCGCTCATCGCTGGTCTTCGGGGAGAAGACGTAGAAGACTGGCTTGATGACTACGACCGCGTAAGTGCCGCTAATGGGTTGGACGAAGCCGCCAAACTGCGTTACGTGCCTTTTTATCTGATCGGAGTCGCGAAGACATGGTATTTTAACCACGTCGTTGACTTACCTGACTGGGCTACCTTCCAGAAGCAGCTGCGACACGT